TGTCACACAGACTGGAGTGCAGTGGCTGCTCCCGGCCACCGCAGCCTTGACCTGCTGGGCTCCGCTGATCCTTCTGCCTCAGCCTTCCGAGTAGCCAGATTTACAGGCATGCGCTACCATGCTCGGCTGATTTTTTTATTTATTGTAGAGATCAGGTCTCCTGCCCAGGCAGGTCTCGAACCCACGGGCTCAGGCAATCCACTCACCTCAGCCTCTGAAAGGCACGGGATTACAGGCTGAGCCACCGAACCCGGCTTGTTTTATTTATTTTAGCCAAATTATAATTCAATACCAGGGTTATAGCCACTGTTAAAACACAGTAGAGAAAGCAAAATGAAACGAATCATTAAAAAGAAGTTTTTGGAATACCTATGGATTTCTGTTTTTCTTTCTAGGCCTCTTTCTTGTATTAGAAATTCCCTCTATTTATAATAAACTTTAAAATCGTTTACTTGCCAGGTGCGGTGGCTCATGCCTATAATCCCAGCACTTTGGGAGGCCAAGGTGAGAGGACTGCCTGAGCCCATGGGTTTGAAACCAGCCTGCGCAACTTGGCGAGACTTCATCTCTATAATAAAGCAAAAAATTAGTCGGGCATGGAGGCGCATGCCTGTAGTTCCAGCTACTTGGAAGGCTGAGGCAGAAGGATCGCCTGAGCCCACTAGGTCAAGGCTGCGGTGGCCGTTGAATGTGCCACTGCACTCCAGCCTGGGCGACAGAGTAAGACTCAAACTCAATAATAATAATAATAATAATTTACTTATATTTGCAAACCAAGAAAATCTTAACAGTTGTTATGCTTCTTTCCAGCTGCTACTCATTCAGCTAAACAATGTTACAACATCTTACTAAACATTACCTTAAAATCTAAGATTAGTCTTAGATTCCAATTCATCTTTCATTTTCATGCTCATTCATTCATCTCTCATTCTTTATCTCTAGTAGTTGCAATAGCTAAGCAGTAGGGCCTTTTTATATTTTCTAGTCCTTTTCCATTCCTTTAATTCTAAGTAAAAATAAGTTAGTTGTTTCTGTGTGGTATAACAACTTGGTATTTCACCGCAGAAATAGTGAATTACCTAGGTACAAAACCATTCATTTTTGCAAAGAGTAGTCTCAAGACTTTCTCCTTCTGCTCCCAGGTCAAATCACCAATATCCACGTTTCCTTGAATACTTGTCCTGAAGAATTTAAAAGGAAAAAAAAGTGAAATAGAAAAATATGGTCAAATTAAGCTTCTCTCCTTTTAAAAAAATATAAAATATGTAAACATAAGAAAAACCCCAGACCATACTGAATATTAGGTAATGACTACAAGGCAAACTATGTCCATTACAAAATCACAAAGTTGGAAAGAATATCAATATACTAGCCAGTCCAAAATGCTATATATTCAAAAACTTACACAAAAATCTATGCTCAAACATTAAGTAAATAAGCAAAATAGAAAACTGTAATGTAACATTATGTATTCTGATACACACAAAAACAAAGGATAAAAAATAGTTGTCCTGTGCCTTTGGGAGGCTGAGGTGAGTGGATTGCCTGAGCTCGCGGGTTTGAGACCTACCTGCCTGCAGCGAGACCTCATCTCTACAATAAATCAAAAAATCAGCCGGGCATGATAGCGTGCGCCTGTAATTCCGGCTACTTGGAAGGCTGAGGTGGAAGGATTGCCGGAGCCCAGCAGGTTCTGTAGTTCCAGCTACTCGGAAGGCTGAGGC